GGGCAGAGTGGGGGATCGCACCCGGGGCAAAGGATCTGGGATCTCAAACACACAGAGGTGAAGATTCAGTTACATACTGGCAGGAGAACTCAAGCATCTTCCCCCACCTGTACAACTGCATGGGTGTTCCTGTCTATTCCAGCAGCACCTGTGTATGTGAAGGGGAGCTCAAAAGCTGCCCAGGTCAGGTCAGGTCAGGTCAGGTCAGGTTGGTGATCATGCACCAGTACAGCGTGCTGCCACACCCACCGCACGATGAAACACCTCAGGACCCTGGTAGGCGACCCCCCCGGGCCGACACATGGTCCAGTCCCACTCTCTGGAAATGGCAGGAACAGCCAGGTGTTACGTGGGCGTCCCCTCGGCCTGGGCCAGTCGCTCGGCTCCTCAATGAGGATCCTGTGAGGCATGCTGTGTTGATGTAATGCTGACCGTGTTGGTGATTCCCAGTAACATGCAGCTGCTAACCCTCTTCACATCTTCTCTGTACCTGGGAGCATCATCTGCCTTCTACTTCCTGGAGTTAATTGCCATGATACTTCCAGACATTTTGCTGACACCACTCTGCCAGCAGCCCAAGTCAGGAGGTGTGAGATGCCAGTGTTACCCACTGAGTCACTGCGCAAACTACACCTAAACTCCTCCATGTTATCCGATTCAGAGCTGCAGATGGGCAAGGCCGCGTGTTTGCTTTCATTTTGAAAGGTCAGTTTGTCTACTTTCATTTTTACAGGGCTATAGATGCCCATTGTTGATTATATTATCAAAGTCTGTAACCGGCCACATTTTTCTATCCTTACCATGTGGTTTATTTTCCTTTATGGACACACACACACACACACACACACACCTGGCCTCTGCATGACCCTATATATACATATATACACACACACACACATACATACACAGTGTTTGGGAGTAACGAGTTACATGTAACGGCGTTACGTGATTTAATTACAAAAAAAATGTAATTGTAATCCATTACAGCTACTAGAGAAAAAAGTGCAATTAAATTACAGTTACTTATGGAAATATTCATGATTACAATTTTAGTTACATCATAAGATTGTATGCAAAACCTTGCTAATACCTTTAATAACAGCATTTTTTATTGCTTTTTGTGTTTTTCTTATGCAAAACATCCTCCTTTGCTATTTCCCTCCACAGACGAAAGTTTGAAACTATTCGATGCTTCTGATTGGTTATCCTGTCGCGTCTACATTTGCAGCCAAACTAATTAACTTGCCGGAGCGGTCTGAGTTTCTGTTGCAGGCAATGGCAGACAAGGAAAGGAATGCATTCCATTGCTGGACATATAAAAAAACATTTCCTATATATTACGGAAAAAGGCACAAATGTAACTGCAATGCAGTGCGTGTTTACTGGCTGTAAAGATGTTGTCGACATCTAAACAGTCCATGTCCAACCTAAGGAAACATCTGAGGTAAGTGCAGCTTATTGTACCTGCAAACAGTCATATTAAATAAAGCAGGAAAGACATGCCTACCTTCAACGTGCCACACGTGCTTCTAAAGTGTAATGCCCGGTACACACTGTGATTTCAGCAATCTTATAAAATCATTACCAATCATACCTCATTATCAACTAATTCTCTGAAGTCTCTGAATACACCATAAACTGGACAAAATCCACAATACTACCCATACATGGTGAGTACTGGAATGCTGCAGCTCAAAACTCACCTGTCCCCATTCCCACTGGCAACATCAGGTACCTCTGCCAGCCTCTCAGAATTATTCCATCTGAATTTCATCCCATTATTAAACAAAATTGAAGATGATTTAAACCGATGGATAAACCTACCTACCTCATTACTGGGTACAATAGCAACTGTAAAAATGATCATATTACCTAAAATCAGTGACCTTTTAACAATGATCCCAACTCAACCCACAACAAAATGGTTTAACTCATTAAATTCCATAATAACTAAATTTTATTGGAAAAATTAAACACCCCGAATCAAACTGGCAACATTACAGAAACACAAAAATCTAGGTGGACTAGAAGCCCCAAATTTTCAAAATTTTACCTAGCAAATCAACTACAGTCCATCAACAATTAGATTCACCCAAACCAACGGAACAATTCATGGTTATAAATAGAACGACCAGTATGTAAAGAAATATCAATCTCTGATTTACCATTTCTAAATACCTCCGTAAAACACCATAACGGCTTTTGCAATGGTCACTTCAACAACTTTAACAGCCTGGTGGCAAATCAACAAAATCTTCAACTTCACAATAAAATTTTGTAAATACACCCAAATTTGGCACAACCGTGACTTTCCACTCAAAAAAACTCCACTTTTCTCTAGTTCCTGGAAACAAAAGGGTATCACACACCTCCACCACGTTTTCGAGAAAAACACATTTGTCACCTTCCAACAATTAACATAAGAAATTTACAAACGAGAGGAGGCCATTCGGCCCATCAAGCTCGTTTGGGGAGAACTTAACTAATAGCTCAGAGTTGTTAAAATCTTATCTATCTCTGCTTTAAAGGAACCCAGGGTTTTAGCTTCCACTACAATAGCAGGAAGACTATTCCATACTCTGACTACACGCTGTGTAAAGACTAACAGAATCAAGGGGGTGGGCTGGTTTGGAGTGGCTTCAATTAATGTATTTATCTGTAGTTCAGCTAATTAAAAATATAGTTATTAGCGAAGGGGGGCAGGTGCTTGGGTATAAATAAAAAAAAAAAATCCTCTGAAAGAATAATGAGCAACAGGCACCATTCAGAATGAAAGTAAAAGTATTCTGTTATATAAAGGCTGTTGTCAGTCGACTTCACTCTTCACACTTGACTTCTGCTCAGCTCCGACATCCTGCTTGACAGAGAGAAAGAACAAGATCCAGTTTTTCACAAGTGCAAGTCTATTTCTTGCAGGTTGGTCAAATCCACTTTTTTAATGTGATTGTGCCGATATTAACATTATCCACATATGAAAACATGCTTTGGTTTTTTTATGTTGGTTTGAGGTAGAGATATATAGATTATAAAATTTTCTGCAAAACTGCGAAGGAAGTTCCACTTAACACTGGAATGCAGTTAGATATATAATATTTAATTATAAATGTATGTATTAATATATTAATCATCACACATGTTTATCATTTTTATTAAGAAGTTAAACTGAAAATATATTCTAATTAATAAGTAATTAAGTAGTAACTAATTGAGTATAATATCAGCTATTAAGCATTAAAATGATGTTTCAAAGCTTTCAGGAAGTTGCTTGAGCTGAGAAAATGTTGCCAGTGGTCAATAAGCAGGTATCTCTGACTCTGTACCTCTTATTCTATAAGAAGACAAACTAATCTTTATTAAATTAACTGAAAAATCTTTAAGGAACAAGTCGCATAGTTTAGATGGAAAATGTTTATGTCATAACGGTGCCACAGTGGTTCGCACTACTGCCTTATTTATTATCATTTATTAAACAAAGTGCAAAGTTTTCATAGATTGTTTAATGTAATTTTCTTTTGTGTTGTTACTTTTGAAAAAAAAAAACACTTATACAGTGGTACCTCAGAACTCGAATTTAATCCCTTCAGAACTCCAGATCAAATCCTAAAAAGTTGATGATGATGAAAACCCTTTATTGCTGTTGCAATATACCATGTCACTAGTCACAAGTACCAGCGAAAAAACTGGCCATCAACCCAACCATATATATACACAAACATCACATTATAGGGGGTAGGCAGGTCAGGAAGACAGGGGATATAGGAAGAACAGAGAAAACAGAATTAACGTACATGAGGAGAGAAGGGGAGAATAAAAAAACAGCCCCCAGACTGTACTCCAGTAGGGAGTACAATGTAGGAACAGAAAAAAAAAACACCTCAGCAACATAAGCACATGATCACTACACTTTACAACATAAAAAGTAATGACTTGCAACAGGGGAGGGAAATGGGGAGGTGGAGGTAGTCCAGCATAGACAAACAGCCATCCGGTCCTGCAGCCAAATCCAGCGCCTGTCACAGACCTGCCTGTTCATGCTGGGGGTATGAAGCGGCGAAGGCGTGGGTTGGGGGGAGGGTGTGGTGAGTGCGTAACTGTACGTATGTATATGTGTGTGTGTGTATCCAGGTGTCCTTGGGATTGGGTTTTTGCATTCCCAAGAACAATAAAGGGGCTAAATAATTCCAAATGCCCCAGGTGGTGGTTTCAAGGATTACCTATGACTTTTGGAAGGTGGTGCAAACCCTTGGCCAATTGCCGTTACAGCCCAAGATCTAATATTAAGCTGGGACGCTATTGCTGGCGTACCCCCCTTATATAAAACGAATCAGGCTGCTATGCAAGCAAAAGCAAAAAAAACAAAACCCGCACGGCAAACAAAAATCCAAATACACACGAAAAGCTCGCAGCAGTCCAATCAAATGCAGAACCCGGGGTCACCAGAGCACTAAACAACATCCCAACTAATAATGCTCAGGGTAAGGCCCGCCAAAGGGTTACTAACGGACCACCAGATGTTCTAAACGGTATTAACCGTATGGTTAAAGGGTTAAGATACTAAGGTAGCTGAAAATAACAGGATATACTCTGATGCTAAAAGAGGGGAAGAGAAACAGCGACTAAGCTCCCCAGATACTGCCATTCCCTGCAAACACCAAAACAGTTTATAAAACCCATCCTCTCTATTCCCTGTAATAGTCGTAAAAACATACATGTACATCACACCAGAGCAGCCTATATATAATCCCCAAAGGAACCCAGGCTCACACCGGTCGATTAGGCTTTCCCTTCCGACCGTCTTCTGTATAATAAAATCACATACCGCAATTGTTAAAACTCCGTTAGGCTCAACCATAATTCAGCATTACTGAGAAAGGATAAAATCCATACCTTATACTGGCGACCGATCTTAGTATGGATGTGTGACTTCTTCCGCTTGTGCCCTTAGGCAAACATTTTCATATCACACCAGCAATACTCGAACTTCCCGGTGATCGTTCTTATGACATCCTAAATGCGCACCACCAAAGTTTAAATGCCACACTCTCTCCTTCCAGTCGACCATCAACTAGAGACCTGCGCGGGACGGATTTTTCAGTCCCGCTCCTGCCCGCTCCCACAAGATTCTGTCCCACTCCCGCTCCCGCCCGCAAAATCCCGCAGGTAAGTACAGTAGTTTTATTTTTACCACTTCTTCCCGCTACTCTATTTGTTTCACTTGCTTCCCTTTGAGTATATATAAAAAAGAAACGGAAAATAAACAAATAAGTTTCGTTTTATTTGAGTTTAATTAAATGGAATGATAAACATGGACACGAACGAGGAGCTTTTCAGAACATAGAAATAAACTCATAACAGTTAGAAATAGGCTAATAATTTTATTATTTTAATTTAGTCGTTCTTGTTGCTTTTGTGCAGTAGATAAAAAATAGAGTATTTGTTTTTAATAAATTAATTTTAAGATAATTCCATTTTGCGGGAGTCCCGCGATTAATTCTATTCTCCCGCAACCCGCACATACATGAGGACCTTACCGCCCGCACCCGCATTCACCCATCAAATCTTGTCCCGCGCCGCACTCGGTGCGTTGGGTCCCGCGGGAGTGCAGGTCTCTACCATCAACCAGCCCAAACGGTAGTTCACCCTGGATCGCGAGACTATGAGGGCATAAATATGGTGGGATACCGCACTCAGACATCAAAATAAAAGTCCATTCCAAACGTCAAAGTGAAAGTCCCCTTCTCATCTACATTCGAGCTACTCGTACCGGTTACATAAAGTTAAAAAAAAAACCCAATGTGTCCTACCCCGAAAGTCCGCTTCCTCCTTGTGCCACGCCCCCTCGTTAACCGGAGCTCATTTTTGTTTTATGTCCGGAAATCTATTCACCTAAAATGTGACATGAAATGGTAAATGGTAAATTATTATTTTTAAAGACATTTTACTGGAGCATTTCAGCTTAAAAAATTAATTCAATTTAAACAATTGTTTTTGTTTTTGTAAAAGATGCTCACGTGCTCTCGAAGACCAAGTCAGAATAATTGATTTTGAAAGATACAGTGGTACCTCATAACTCGAACTTAATCCGTTCAGAACTCCGGATCGAATCCTAAAAATGTATAGTTCTGATCGAATTTTCCCCATAAGAAAAATTGGAAAACCAATTAATTGGTAACAGGTGTTATGCCGAAAAAGGCATCCCTGCCGAAAAAGGCATCCCTGCCTTAGAATCATAGAATGCATGCCGGTGTTTTAAGGGTGTTTTGGGGGTCAGGGGTTTTTTAGGGGTTAGGGTTAGGGTTTTAGGGGGTTTTTGGGGGTTAGGGTTTTATAGGTTTTTGGGGTTTTTTAGGGGTTAGGGTTAGAGTTTTACGGGTTTTGGGGGGCTATTGATTAGCACTACGGTATCCTTACTCGACAACGTAGCTCAACTCGTTTCAGATCAGCGACCAATCGGTCATTTAGACTGCATTCGACGGCAGGGATGCCTTTTTCGGCATAACACCGTCCCAAAAAATTACACCGAAATATGTTTTTTCTAGCATTTAAACACAAAATGAACCGGACAAAACAAGAAAAGCATATACTGTACTAAACACATCTAAACACATTTATCAAAACAGTAATTTTTAAACTAAGAAAATTAATTTATCCAAACAATGTGTATAGTTAAAAAAAACAATGTGTCCTGCCCCGATCTTCGGCTCCTTCCGTGTGCCACGCCCCCTCGTTAACCCCGTATGGAATCCCCGTGTGATCAGCTGTTTCTGGTTGTTGTCATTAGCCCTCTGTATTTCCTCCGCGTTTCAGTTTGTTTCCCGAGTCAGGTCATTTTACTGTGCGTTTGCGTTTTGCCAGCCTTACCCGTAATTAAACCCCGTATTCCCCAATACCCTGACGTCTGCGCCTTTGTCCCCGTTCGGTCCACCAATGTATTAATGGTTTATTATTAATATTAAAATAATTAATAAGAAATCTTTATTTTTAAATGTATTTTATTATATAATAATTACTGTTACTGTCTATCATTGTCTAAATGTATTTTTACTGTCTAAATATATGTATTCAGCTTGTGTAAACATACACGACGCTATCACAGCTAATGCGAGGCTGAGACTGAAGCATTACCCTTTGTTTCCGCTGAGAGACGTGCAGCGTGACTCATTTCCCCGCGCATACAAGTTATCTTAGGTCGGCGTTTACGGTTTGACTTATGAGATTCAGATCGAGTTCTAGGTCTTTTTTTTTCTCGAACTGGTTGGTTCGACTTTTAAGAAATTCGAGTTCTAATGAGTTCAAGAACTGAGGTACCACTGTATAATTTAATATTTCATGTAGGCTCATTAGGAAAACTCAGTGAATCATGAATTAATCATAATAAACAAACCTACATTTTAGGGTGTAGAACTGAAATTATGCAAGCCACTTCGAGGAAGCCCCAGGAGGTGGCAGTTCTTGGAAGACCCTTCCAGCTGGGGATGCTGTATGATTGCTGTAATGATGGTCTCATTCCAGGTAAGTCGCTAAATCAAACAGCTGCTTCTGGTTCAGTATCATTGTGTAAAGATACTGGGTTGAGCTTTGTGAGACAGAGACCACATGTATCAAATGAAAGAGTTTAATCGATTCTGAGAAGAGGGTCCATTGAATGTACATGTGACCTTCACACCAATGCAAATAATCTTCTGATAAGCAAAGGGGGGGAGGGGGTGTGTGGATCAACAGATTAGGACACTTGTCTGTGATGAGAAGGTCACCAGTTCACACCCCATGCCCAGCAGAATGATTTCACCATTAAGCCCTTGAGCAAACCAATGACCCCCAATTGCTCTAGGGAATGTCTGACCCCAGTTTCTCAAAAATGTGCCTTGGATGAAAGTGTCTGCTAAGTGAATAACATGTAACACATCAGTCACAATTTCATAAAGGGGGAAAAACAACTTAAACCATGAATACCCTCACAAGAAGGTCATCAAGCAGCATTACTGCTAATCATACTGGACAGTATCACAGCATAGCATTTTTAAAGACTACTTTTAGTAAATTATACATAAATATGACATATTGATCGCCAACATGGCATCTGTGATTGTGGTAAATAGTCCAGCCATTCCAATGAAGGCAGGAAACAGGTCAGGATATTGGCTTCTACCAACTCATGGATCCACTGTCCAGAGACTGTAGCAGGCAGCTATGTGAGCCCAGCTGGTCATCTATTAGCCACTGGGCCAAGGAATCAAAACAGAGTACTGTTAATCAATGCGATATGAATACTCACAGTCAGCATTAGAACAACACATGGATCAGATAAGAGGCTGATCACATGAAATGCTATAGTCACAGCACTGACTGATTAGCTCAACAATAGCTCTGTGGTCAGGATCCATCCTCCGGCGAGTACCTTTAGCCCTGGAAACCATAAAAAGTTGGGTTTTCACTTAAGTACGGGGGGGGGCGTTCAGCCCAAGGTAATGTAGGTATTCTATTAAATTATTCCCATGAAACGTTGTATATGAAAAGATTCTTCTACCATTTTCCACTGAATTTTAAGTAATTGTTGTAGTAAAACTAGAATCAGTGCTATCAGATACACCGGCGTTGTATTCCTTGGGCAGCTTTGGTAATCATTCCACACTCACTAGCTTATACACTTTCTAGAAGTACTGGATGGATCAACTGGAAATGTGAAAGTTAAGTACAATTTCCACAAGTAATAGAGGCATCACTAGGAAATGTTAAAGTTAATAAATGTGTTTTTACCTGATGTCCTTGTTGTGGTAAGTTGGCCTGAAGTGACATTATACCACTTGCATTTATACTAAGGAATCCCCCTGAAATTAAGCAGGTTTAGGCCTGGCCAGTACTTGGATGGGAGACTAACTAGCAAAGCTGGGTTGCTGCTGGAAGAGGTGTTTGTGTGGCCAACAGATTTGCTCATCTGGTTGTCAGTGTGGATCTCAATGCCCTAGTGCAGTGATGGGGACACTGTGCTAAATAAATTCTGCAATATAAATTCTATCTATGAATGAATCAAACGCCACCATTGTGTCAGTCTGAACCCTGTAAAACACAATAGGTACATTTATTGGAAATATTCTCTTAAAACAAACAGTATAATGGTAGTTTACAGTATTGCAAGATCATCTAAACATCATCTAAAAACTGGCTAACACTACCAGTAATTGCCTTATAAAAGTGTATTCTTAAACGTTAACTTTTCATCAATACCATGTAAATCATACATATGATCAGTTTAACTTGTGTGTAATATAATACATACTGGAGTTTACCATAAATATGCCCACATTTCACAGCGTAAAACCAAACAATTCATGAGTTACTTTAAATATTAACATTAATAGACATTCCTTTCTACTGAACAGTCAAATATCTAATAAAATCAGATTTTGCTGCAGTCAGATTTTGCTGCAAGAGATTAGAAACCTGCCCCCTGGTTCCCTGATCATACGCGTGAACTTGAACAAGCTTCACATAAGCTAGAGTTTAGTACTTCTTCCATCCCAAGTTAGAACACTCCTTCTAGCTGGTCATACACAAGGTCTGCTTGACACAATTAAATTAAACTGTGGAAATTGTACTTAACTTTCACATTAAATGAAAAAACTAGTTATCCTCTTCACGGATTTTGCAAAGGCAAACAAGGAGAACAAGAAAACATACTTTATAGCTACATCCATACGTAATGATAAACACAATGGGGAAAGCATTTACCTTTACAAAGATGGGAATAAACAAAGTGATCATTTTGAGCCTCTGTCAAAGCCTGAAAGACCAAATGCATCTGACTTCACTCATGACAGTGTGACAATAAAGCTGAGTCACCCCCAGTATGGATCAAGTGAAATCACACACTACCTGGTTGAATACTGTGCTAATGAGTCAGATGTTTGGCAATTTATTAAAGTACTCAAATCTAACCTAGAATGTACTGTGTCTGGGCTGCTTCCCCACACAGGCTACAGGTTCAGATACAAGGCAGTGTGTCCAACAGGTGTCAGTCTAACCAGTGAAGCTGACAGCATTAAAACTTTGCCCACAAGTCCTCCTGGGAAGCCAAGACAAACATATGTAGACTCAGACGAGATTGTAGTTACTTGGACAAAACCTGATTCAATTGGCCATGGTGTCAGCATAGAAAACTATGTTGTTGAATACAGAACTGAAACTAATGAAAATAAGGCAGACTGGAAAAAAAGGAAGTAAAGGTGAAGTCTATAAAATTACTGGGCTACAGTCAAATACAACATATGGTGTTAGAATTACATGCAATTGTGGTGAATCTGGTCAAAGCAATGAAAGTCTGACAATCTCTATTTCAACATTGTCAGGAACCACAACAGTAGCTGAAGAGATAAAACAAAAGAGTGAACGTCTCAGCAAAGGGGTCCCCTCTGTGTACAAGGTTCCCCTGCGGGAGATACACAGAAACTTATATGGATGCAAGAGATATGCTTTTGGCAAAGAGAACATCAGAGAACATCGAACCATTATGGTCATTGGGGCAACAGGAGCAGGAAAATCAGCCCTAATAAATGGAATGATCAACTATATTTTGGGTGTTAAGTGGGAAGACAATTTCCGATTCAAATTAATTGATGAGGGGACTTCAAAATCACAAGCGGAGAGTCAAACATCCCATGTCACTGCCTATGACATTAATTATCAAGATGGATATACAATAAGCTACTCCATCACTATCATCGACACCCCAGGTTTTGGTGACACAAGAGGAATAGAGAGAGACCGAGCAATCACTGAACAGATCCGAACATTTTTCACCTCCAACAACGGAATCAGTGCTATAGATGCAGTCTGCTTCGTAACTCAGGCCTCACTGGCACGACTAACACATGCACAGAAATATGTGTTTGACTCCATCCTTTCCATTTTTGGTAAAGACATAGCAGACAATATCCGGATGCTTGTGACATTTGCAGATGGACAGAAGCCCCCAGTTCTAGAGGCCATCAACGTGTCTGGTGTACCATGTCCGAGAACAGAAAAAGGGATTCCTGTTCACTTCAAATTCAACAATTCAGCACTGTTTGCAGACAATTCTCACTCAGTCTATGTGAAAACTAGTGATGATGAAAATGAGGAAGATGGTGATGACAACTTTGACAAGATGTTCTGGAGAATGGGTGTGAAGAGCATGAAGAAGTTTTTTGTTGCCTTAAGAAGTATGGAAACCAAGAGCTTGAGGCTAACTAGGGAAGTCCTCAAAGAACGTAAAGAGCTGGAAACTGCAGTCACAGGTCTGCAACCACAGATCCGAGCTGGTTTGGCCAAACTGGATGAAATCAAAAGGACCCAACAAATAATTCGGAAGCATGAAGCAGAAATAAATACAAACAAAAACTTTGAATTTGAAGTAGAGCTGACAAAGCCAGTTCAGGTTAGTATAGAAGGATCTGGACAGTATATAACCAACTGTCAGCAGTGTCATTTCACCTGCCACTACCCCTGTTATATTCCAGATGATAAGGATAAGGCAAAGTGTAATGCCATGGACCCCCAAGGAAACTGCAATGTGTGTCCTGGCAAATGTATCTGGAATGTGCATTTTAACCAGAAATACAAGTGGGAGTATAAAAAGATGAAAGAGAAGAGAACATCTAAAGAGCTTAAAGCAAATTATGAGAAAGCGTCTGGTGCCAAACTGACAGCTCAGGAAATAATTAAAAAACAACAGGAGGAAATTCTGCGTCTTCAAGATGAAGTACTGGAACTAATGGAGGAAATGCAAAGGTGTTTAGGTCGACTACAGCAAATCGCTTTAAAGCCCAACCCACTTTCCACACCAGAATACATTGATTTGCTGATTGAGAGTGAAAAGGCAGAAGCTAAACCTGGATTCCTGCAGCGAATTCAGTCACTTGAAGCTATGAGAGAACAAGCAGTGATCATACAAAAGGTCATCAATAACGAAGAACTTTTACCATTCGAGGCAATGATGTATAAGGCAAAAAGAGAAAGAGAACAAAATAAAAAATTTGGTAAGAGTTTCAAATACTTCACATTCTTCAAAGAGTGAAAAAGTGAGACTTTCAAACATTACAATCATGAATGAAATTTGAGTGAAAATAAAATTTCAAAAGACAAGAAAACTATTGTTGCCAGCCACATAAACTTATGGCTGCCACATCTTTCATTGATTCCTCGATTCTGTACTGCTGCTTACATTATAAAGTTATGATGTGGTGGCATATTGTGTTTTGTGCTAAAATTGTTTCAGTTATACTAATAGTAAAAGCCCTGCTGTTTTGGTGCACAACTGATATTTATTTATATGGGCACCTGAACCAAAAATCATCCCATTCTTAATGAGGGAGGCAGGCTTGGATTTCCTTTTAAACAATCACTGACAGTCATGAATCAGACACCTTAAAATTGAGTGTAGGTACATGTTGGCCTAAGCACCAAAGGGGGGTTAGTGACCCCACACACACGCACACATAAACACACACACACAGATAACAAGGGAGGCCAGCACTCCAACTTTTATTGCCTGAAGATTTAGGGACCTACAGACAGAGTGAGAATTACCCCTCCATAATTGGGGGGTACTGCCTTCATAACACTTCTATAACCATTACGGTCCGCTACCGCGTCAATATGAATAGTCGCCACTAGAGCTGGGCGGTATGACCAAAAATTTATATCTGGGAATTTTTCAAAGTTATATTGGTTTCACGGTATACGTTGGTATTTTTTTTAAAGTATAACTGGGCGTTTACCACATTTTACAGGATTTTACAGGACACTTTTGTTTTACATTTTTGCATTGTTCCCACATTAACTGTATTATTTTATTATTAGCCATTGCGCCAATCTGCTACCTTACTGATAACATACGGCTAACATGTTTGTTGGCTAACTGCTAATAGATAAACAGCTAATGTTAAGGTGTGCGCCATCTAAGTTAACATTTTTGATAAGTGTTTAATAGTCCAGTGTTGCTGGAACGCGAGCTTTACTGACCTCGCAAAATTTCTCATAAAGACCGGGATGTCTGTCTGTAAGATGCTTTGCCAAGTTTGACGTGCTACTTGACTTTGTTGCCTCAACATTGTAGCACTGTTTGTGTAGAGGCTTATCGACATCCTTAGCCTTTCCATGGACGTCTGCAAAATACTTCCAAACGGTACTTTTGCATTTTTTTTTTTTTTTACTAAAGCAGTTTGCAAAATGTCTTCAACTGCAGCATATGCCATGTTCGGCCAACTTGGCATGTGTGTGTTAACCGGTGCAAATGCGTTCAGCGGCTATTGAGAGGAGGGGAGTGTGTGTGTGTGTGTATGCGTGCATGTGCGCCTGCATTGTAGTGATGCTGTACGAAGTGTGGCGAATGGCGAAAACCGCACTGTTGGTATTAGTAATGGTGAAAATATCTGACTTGATGATACAGTAGATCTTAAAGTACAGCCTAATTTCTAACTCACCTCTTGGTCCT